GAAAGAGAGAGAGAGAGAGAGAGAGAGAGAGAGAGAGAGAAAGGAAGGCTGGAAGGAAGGAAGGAAGGAAGGAAGGAAGGAAGGAAGGAAGGAAGGAAGGAGGAAAGAAAGAACAATAACAACGAAGCAAAATTGAACATAGTTGGACATGCTGGTGCACGCCTTGAACCCCTGCACTCAGGAAGCAGAGGCAGCATGTGGATCTCTGTGTGTTCTAGGCCAGCCTGGTCTACATAGTGAGTTCCTTTCTATCCAAAGTTATAGAATAAAACTGTTTAAAAAAGAAAAAGAGTACATTTCAGATGTATCATTCACTGTATAAAATGATAGCATCACAGGGAGATGAATAACCTAATTACCTTGGCTTAAACAGTCCACATTGTCTACACATCAAAACAGGACTTTGTGCTCCATACATGTTCATAATTGTGTCTATCAATTAAAATAATATTAATAAAAATATAAAAGAGACTATAAAGTGTCACCTTAGTATTTTTACTGATTACATGTTACAATAATAATATTTTGGAAGTGTTGTGTTAAATAAAAATACTATTCAAAAAAACCAGACTCCTCTGGTGTTTCCATTGGCTTTGCCATCTGCAGATCCAAGCCATGAATAGCACCAGAAACTCAGCCAAATATTGTCTGCGTCTTCATGGCCATAGAACTCTGGAACTCTCTTTCTTTGAACAACTCCAATATTTTTAATTAAAATATTATTGAACTTGAGAAAAAGGAGTAACACAGTTAAATATGTGGTACTGGAAGTCCCAGACAGCTATCAGATGACTCCTGAGCACCTGCAAGCCCATCACATACTGACGGATGCAAACAAACCATGCCTAAGTCAGTCACTACGTTACCCCAAAGACAACAGTTAGCTTTTCATATAACCATTTATTCATTGCCAATCATTCTCAATTATTATTTTAGAAACCAAAGCTAGATAGTTATCCATTTCCCTACTTTAAAATAAAAATGAACTCTGGTAATTTCAGACCACGTAGAATCAGTTTCTTACTCAAAAAACACAGCCAGGTCATACAGAGGAGTCTTCCCCACAGTCCTTCACTCTACATTCCTCCCACGTGTTCCTCTGCACATGGATACTGACAAGTGGGGAACAGAGGCTGCAGAAGGGAACAAAAGTGACAAGGAGCCCACCACCAGTCCTGTCCTCTGTGCTGAGTACATGGGGTGCTGTTCTGGGAAGTTCTGCATCCTAACCTAGGTCTTTGCCACATCACCAGGAGAAGGCCTTGGTACTGTGGTGTCATGCTAGGGGCCTCACAGTACTATGGACCCTCATAAAAGGAACAGGGCAAGATCTACATACAACATGTTTCTGGTGCTTTGGAGGACCTGGCCATCAAGTCCTGTGACTAAGGACTGGCTGATTTAGAATAAGGAGAAGAATAGAAAGGATCCCTTGCTGTGCACCAATGCTAACACATGGGCAACAGGGGAGTGACCAGGAAGCTCTGGGCTCAAGGTCACTTTTCACCCACTGCCTGCACACTCACTCTGACAAGGTACAGGAGTGTGGAGCAAGTCAGGACAGAGGAGTGAAGTTTCCATGTGCTTGGCCTGTGGACAGCAGGGTTGTCTTCCCACAGTTGAACTTACCTATCACTCCCAGCTTGGCTGCGAACATCAGTGCAATCCCGATGGGGAGGCCGATCACATAATATCCTATGGCGTTAACAATGGCTCCAACCTTCTGGTTTCCAGTGCCCCTCAGAACACCACCACAGGTACACTGTGGGTGGGTGACATTTATCAGTGGGAACACAGCTGGTGCTTCTAAAGACCCCGCCTCCCAGGCATAGAAAGCCTCTCTGTGGACCTCAGCCCTCCTCTGTTATAAAGCTTTGTAGAAGTGGCCATGATAAGAATCAACAGTGCCCTCTAGACCACGCTAGCCCCCTCTTCCCACTTGAAACTTATCATCATCAGAAGAAATCACTTTCGGAGACATGGAAGTGTGTGGGGAAATCAGGCTCGATACTCACAGCAAGACTTTCAAAGAGGTGGGACACAGCATAAATGGGGACCACTTGAGCCACCAAGTCCACGATCTCTCTGTTGGGGAAACAGAGCACATGGTAATTAGTAAAAAAAGGAGGGGCCAAAGAGATGGCTCAGTGGTCAAGAGCACTTGTTCTTGATGAGGATCCAGGTTCAATTCCCAGCACCCACAACTGCCTCTGACTCCAGTTTCAGTAGGTCCAAGAGTTTCTTCTGGCTTCCATGGGCACCAGACATGTACATGGCACACAGACACACATGCAGGAAAACATCCATAGGCATAAAAAAAATGAATTGAAGGGCATGGATCCCAGGAGAGGAGGACCCACATGTACCCTAGCTCAACAAGGCTTGGGCTCTTTGTCTAGATGCCCTGGTGTATTCACAGCAGACAACAGTCCAAGTGGGGACAAGTCTACCATTGTGTGACACAGAAACCAATTTTCTAATATAATCCATAGCTTCTAGGGGGAAAAATCCATCCATTTAGTCAATGAAATCCATCTACCCCCAAAAAACAAAGCTTAGATTGGCAATGCCACTCTCCTTTTAACCCAATTCCCAAGGCAGATCTTGAATGCACATCTCAAGAGCTGTCTGAGTGATGCATTACAGAGAGAGCGCGCGTGGAGTACGGCTCAATGGCAGAGCATCTGCCTAGAATGCATGAAGCCCTGTGTTTGGTCCTGGCGCCATCAAAGAATAAATGCTCTTCCCAGTCAACCAAGTGTCTCAGGGTTCTCACTTCTAGAAATGGGTTCACCCTTAACACTACAGATTTGGATTTTAATGTCTACACATAAAGGGAAGAAGAAAAATGCTACCATGAGAAGCACCCTCAGAGGCAATGATTGGAAAAAAAAAAACTGTCTGGCAATGGATATTTGCTGAGTGGATGAATAAAGAATCCAGTATCCAGTGTGGGACTGGATGGTCTCTTTCTTTCCTCAAACCAGCACAGGAATACAGTTGTTTGTTAAAATAAAACTTTGGATGGGAAGTATATGCAAACAAATCTGATGACCACTGCCTCTCAGGCCACACCATGACTGTCCTGTCCCCACAGATGGCAATTCTTACCACTCCTGTGTTTATCTGATATTCATGAAAATAGACTCGAATACAAATGGGTATGATGAGATTCCCCTTGCACTGCACACATGTCCCCTCTACGACGCCTACTAGGGTTTTTTCTGTCTACAGATGACATCCTCTCTTCTAGTCTGCTGAGATATACTTTCAGTGTGGTGCTGGTCAATCCTGTCTACTAAAATGTAATCTTGGGTTTTAATTTATTTTCTTTCTTTCCTACCTTGGGGTCAGGGGGAGTGGAAATGCATAGACTAAAGCAAGGCCTTCTGTGCACATACTACATACATGCTCTCCCACTGAGTCGCACACCCAGCCGCACACCCTGGCTCTATCTTGGACTTTTAAATAGATATGTAACTCACTTTGGCAGGACAAAAGGTCAAGGGTCAAACCAGGGCTTCAAGTCTATGAAGCACTAAGTTGTATTTTTGCCCTATTTTGTGCTTTTAGATCGGTTTTGGTGACTGGGAACAGTCTGTTTTTGTGTTTTGTTTTGTTTTGTTTTGTTTTGTGTGTGTGTGTGTATACTGTCAAATACGGGTGTTCTGTGGACACATTTGGTTCACAATAAATACTGTTTCTTTTTCTATGCTTTGAAAGATTAAACATCATTAGAATGATCTATATTTTAATGGTTTGAAAACTTTCTCCCCTGGAATCAGTGATGGGGGGGGCGGTGGATTTTAAAACAGGTTTCCCTTACTTCTTATAAAGAAACCACTTGATTTAGATTTTCAGTCTTTCCTAGGGTAGATTTTGGTCAACAATGTTTCTGGAGAATTACTTCCTCTTCTGTGGTTTTTGTTTTCCTTGTTTTGTTCTGTTTATTGACACAGGGCCTCACTATGTAGCCCAGACAGACCTGAAGCCTGTTATCCTCCTGCCTCGGTATCCTGAGTAGGAGAATTGTAGGCATGTGCTACTATGCCTGGCTTTGTTATTCTAGGTTTTAATTTTCATTACAAAAAGAGATGGTGTGAACTAATCTCTTATGATTTTTAAAAATGATTATGGGTGTGTGTGTGTGTGTGTGTGCGCGCGCGCACGCGCGCATGCATGCCTGCCTGCCTGCCTATCTGTTGCAAAATTTACCATAGAAAAGATAGACAATCCAAATAAAATGATTTCCTTGTAAGAAATGAAAGAAACTTGTTTTTAAATGCCCTTCTGGTGACAGTTACAGAACGGCCACTTGGACCACATGCTTGGCTGGAGATGGAGACAGAAGAAGGGGCAAAGGAAGAGGAATAGAGCCTGGACTGTGTCCCACCGGCAGATGAATTGGGTTTACCTCTCTCTTTGTGTTCTCTTCACGGTGATTAGCTGAGGTAAGATTTCATCTGTTTCATTTATTCTGCCACTTTGGGTTGGTCATGCACACAGAATGACAGGTATGCATTCTGAGAAATGTCTTAGTATTTAATTCCTTTGCTATGTGAATATCACAGAACAAGGTCACCCAAACCTAGATGGTTTAGCCTGCTACTGGGAGTGGAGGGGTGGGCTATGAATCTGTCCTGTCCTGTCCTAGCCTGCTGTTCCTAGGTCCTGATAAACAAAATGACAGGAAATGAAATCAAACATGAGAGTGAGTGCTAGGATTGAGGGGCATGGTGTACGCATGTCACAGAGATGCTGAGGGATGCAGGGCGTGTGGTGTGCTATAGCAAATTTTTTATAAGAGTATAAACTTTTTATACTCTAAACGATTAAAGGTATGGGGAAGTAGGTTAAACATGATCCAAGTATACTACATACATATATGAACATACAATAATTAAATGTATTTTTAATTGTTCATTATTATTTTATGTGCATGGGTGTTGCCTGCACATGTCTGTGTACCACTTGTGTAACTGGTATGCCTGTTGGAGGCCAGAAGAGGACCTAAGATTCCCAGGAACTAGAGTTACAGATGGTTGTGAGCTGATTCATGGCTGCTGGGAACCGAACCCAAGGCCTCTGGAATTGCAGCTAGCACTCTTAACTGCTGAGCCATCTCCCCAGCCCCTTAATGCATTTTTTTTTTACTGTGTCCCAGGTTTCTTTGTTTAAGAAAGGAGTGATAAGTTATAGAGGTTCAAAATCAAGAATCTCACTGAGCTTCAACTTCCTGCCCACCACCATCTCCCCACCCTCCCAGCCCCCACCCTTGTGCTTCCAAGCACTCCTCAGTAAATGAAGAACCTGGTCCACCTGCTGA